CGTGATTAAATTTAAACCGGAAGAAATATTCACAATTTTGGACAATGAGTATCCAAACAAAATATTCTTCACCGGAAAAAATTAATCACAAACCAACAAGTAATCACAATTTAAACAAACAAGTAATTGCAATTTAAACTTGAACTTAAAATGAATGAACTACGAATAAATAATCACACAAAGGATTAGTAAACGTACCTGGGGCCGGGCACAGCCGGCATCCAAGACCACGCAGGTCAGCAGCGGGGAGCGGGGGAAAAAATAAATCAAGTGGCACTCCGGTACACCAAGGGTGGTTATCGCCAATTTACCTGAGCAGGGCCCGAGGTTGGGTTACCCGACTTACCGTAGGCAGCGTGGCGGCAGAGCTCCCAGACTGGCGGCAGCAGGTCTGGACCGGCAGCGGACTGGACTGGTTTGGCTCCTGGCAGACGGCGGCAACGCCCCTGGACCTCCGGTGACTTCTGGACAGCAGCGGAGGGCGTCGACGCAGCGGCAGGCGTGGCGGCGGCAGACCTCTCCCGGCTCTGATACCACTGTAAGAACTCGAATCCAGCTCAGGTCTCAACCACTTTCATCCACAAAGGATGAATTTCACACACTAGGATCAACAAGGGGAGAGAGGGGCGTCAGCAGCAGCTATTTCCGGCCAGTTCAACCGAGCACCCACAGAGAGGCGGTAATCAGAGAAGCAAGGGTTTCGGCCAGCCCTCATCCATCGACAAAGAGAAGTATAAATAGGCATACCAAAGAGACAAATATGGTAACTTACCTTCAATGGAGTAACGATTGAATCACACAGGAGTAGAGAAGGAAAGAATCACACGGATGAAGGAGAAGGATTAACGACCGGGTAACACTGAGAGAAGGGGTCGGGTAAGTTGAAGTGGGCTTAAAGGAAAAATCGGGCCAATACCTACACTGTCAATTAGGTCTACATAACTGGATGCTTCCCGGTTAGCCCGTTGCTCGCTCACGTGGACATCGTACATTGAGGATTCTGTTGCTGACATGGATTAAAAATTTCCACATCAATTGACAGTTTTCCCTTTCCTTTTTCAATTTTCTTTTCTCTCTTCCTACTTTCTCTTTTTTTCTCTCTTTCTTCTTTCTTCCTGGTCCGCTACTCTTCACCTTTAATTTCCCAGTCCGCAGCTCCCCCCTTGTTCGTTTCTTTCTTTCGATGCTTTTAATTTTTCTTTCCCTTTTCTATTTCTCGTGTGCATCTGCAACTCCATCTCCTCAGTTCCCTCCTGCACAGATTACAGATCTATGGTGGAGGTAGTGGTGGTAGCTATGGAGGCTGGGGTGGTTGGAGGTCGTTCCAACTTCCAATAGAAAAGATGAAGGTGGAGACCATGGAGGTGGAAGCCGGATCGAGGCGGTTGGTATGGTGGTAAGGGTGGCGGAGGTGGTTGCTACAGAAGTCGGCGCGTCTGGAGTTCGTTTCAATGGAGGAGACGAAGGGACGAAGGTGGTGGTCGGAGGACGTTTAAACTTGTTTACTTCTGAACTTCAGTGGATTCAATTCCTATTACATGACTTACATGCTTTTGCTGCAATGCCACTTCATGTGTATAGTGATAATCAATGTGCAATACAAAATACCAAAAATCTTACATTCCATGAGCGAAAAAAACACATAGAAGTGGACTGTCACTTTGTTAGAATCAAACTAGAACGAGGATTGATTAAACTGTTCTTTGTTCCTTCATCTTGTCAGCAAGCAGACTGCTTCACCAAAAGCTTACTACCAACTTTATTTCATACTAATGTTTCTAAGCTGGATCTTCATTCTATATTTGATCAATCTTGAGGGAGGGTATTATCTTATAAGATCGTTATTTTGATCATCATTTTAATGAAATAGTTAGTTGGGTAGTTAGTCAACCAATTTTGCTATAACACATAGTTACATTTAGTTCTTTAGCTAGATATTTTTTGTTGAAGTATGCTTGTAAAACTTTCTACATATACCACCTTTCTCCTCTTCATGAAGGTGTGTGTCATCTTATAAGGTTTTTGTTCATGTAATTTCATTTATAGTATGATGAATTTCCTTGTACATTTTTTATCTTCCACATTGCTATTTTTTCCTTGAATCCAACAATGGTATCGAATCATTGAGCTCATTGTTGTATTCAGATTGCATCGTTGGATTATTTTATTCAAAATCTTCACTTTAATTTGATTGTTGTAGATTTTAATAATTAAAATTCAGAGGAATATTGTGTACACAATTCCAAAATTTTAGTTTTAAATTTGCTAAATTTCTAGTCTCGTTAGTAATTGAATCATGATTCTAGCAGATTAGTTTCGAAGTAATATGATCGAATCAGAAATTAATAAATTGTGGTCAAATTTGGCAGATTTGATACGATTGAAATTGGCAATTTTATCTTCTTCTTTTTTGAAAGAAAAAACCAAACTATATTAATTTAATTAATAATTTGGAGTTACAACCAGCCAAAACTCAAGATTTGTCAACTATCTTTTAACAGGCTTCATCTAGACTCAAAAAAGCCCTACGTTTGAGACGGTTACCTCCAAAGAAGCAACACGAATCACTAACCACCAAAAGAGCAACATATAGTTTTTTCTGACCCTTGAGGTCACCGTACTCTTTACCACTTTAATAAACTCAAAATAGCGAAGAGTTCCCTCACTCCCTGATCAGACATAGAAAAATTCACCCAAAGCAAATCGAAATTTTTCGTTGAACATACGAGAGATTTGAGACAAATAACGGTCATAAGCGCCCCCAAAATACCTCTAACACAAGCAAGCCAAAAACATAGTAAAAGTCTAAAAAGGCATAAGTAAAACTGGAAAGAATAGCTGAGCAATAAACCGCCTATGGCCAGATCCGAACTTGAAGCGTCTTCTTTCAAACCTTAACCACATGATCCCTCCATGGCGGCGGTTCCGGAGGGGGGCGAATTAGCAATACTGCATCTTCTTCATCATCCTTCTCCTTGTGCATCATGTTCTCCTTGAATCTGCACATCCAACCTCGAACTAGACTTGCACTAGGCGGAAGCTTTGCACCATGAATCATAAGAACACTTACAAGGATCTCAATGCTACTCCAAAATCCCTGCCGGAAAGAGAAACCCTAGAATGTTAGAGAAACGACCTCACTACAGTAGTTAAAAATTAGGCCACAAGAAGTTGCTTTTAAGGACGTCCAGGATCTAACCGAAATAGTTTGAGATAATTCCGCAAGTAAGACTAAATAATGTTAAAAGTTCAACAATAGGAGTGCAATGTTCTGTTACGTTCCATACTTCCATAGGACTAAAAAGAGTTAGATAGACAAAATTACCCTTGATGCAAATAAAATACTTTGTAATAAAAATAAAAATGACAGCAGTCCTAGACATATGATGCAGCCTCTGACATAGAACCATAGCCATCTCCAGGACCACTGATGCACTCAACCGCCACCTCCTCCGCCACTCCACCGCCGCCGCCGCCGCCGCCTCCACTTGCGATGTCGTCGCTGCCTCCTCCAACGGCGATGTCGGCTGCCTCTGGCTCCACTGGCGTCATCTTCGCCTCTACCGACGTCACTGTTGCACGCCTCCACCTGCATCGCCGCCTCCTCCATCGATGTCACTGATGGCTGCCTCCACCGCCGCCGACGCCGGCCACTTAATCTGCCACATCATCCACTGATGCTACAGTGATGCTACCGCCCGTCCGCCACCAGATCTGATTTGTGACTTGATAATACAAGTTCCATCTTTCAGTTGTATTGCCATCTTAATGACACTATTGCCATCCTGACAGAAAGAAAATGCATTTTCAGTTTGAAAAACATGGCATTAATGTCTTTCATAAGAGTATTATTGTCATCTTTGTATTCTTAGTTCCATAAAAATAGAATTCATTTTCGAAGTGGCATTTTTAAATTTAGAGGACTAATATTAAAAAGATAAGTGCCATCTTGCAGATGAAGTGTTATCATAATGTCATTATTGCCATATTGACATAAATAAAATGACATATTCAGATTGGAAAATATGGCACTAATGCCATAACAATGACATTCATTTTTGAAGTGATTTTTTCATATTCATTTATGATATTATTCTGAAATTAACTTCCAATAGATGATATTTTTTGGGAAAATAATAATAATGATGTCATTTTCATTTTAAAAAATAAAAAAACATAAATATCAAACTAAATAAAAATTGTCGAAATATATAAAAAAATAAAAATTTGACAAATAAAAAAACAGAGGAGAAGCGTAACAAGGAAGAAGAAGATTGAGAAAAATAAGAAGAAGAAACAGAAGAAGAAGAGGAGGAGGAGGAGGAGGAATTCGAAACTTATCTATGTGGTTGCCGCTGCTCTCCACGGCCCACCCGTCGAAGCTCCAGAAAAAAAAACCACCATTGATACTTCTAAAATCGGTTGGAGATGGAGGAATTTAGATGTATTGAAAATCTGGAGATGTGTGAGAGGTTGAGATTTGATTGAACAGAAGGTGTGAGAGCTGGAAGATGAGGTTGGCCTAGAGCAGATCTATTGCGTGAAAGAGCTTGGGCGGAGATCTAATTTGTTGGGTGAAGAAAAAAGAGGGGTGGAGAAGAAAGGAGAGGAAAGAGAAGGGAAAAATGGTTGATGTGTATGAGTTGGTGCGTGAGAAGAAAGGGTAGGTTGGGAATAAAATAGAAAACAATCCTATTTTGGGAATAAAAAAGTCTATAGTCCTAGTCTTGCATTAATCATATATTTTAGTCCTATTTAAGTCAATAACTTAAATAGTTTCTCGCTTAATGAGAATTGAGAATTGATTCAAAGAAGGCAAGAAGCATAGAGAAAGCTATCAGATCTAAAGCCCCAATTTGCTAAAGGTGCGGTTTGGCAATTTTAACATTAATAAAATCGGCAAGTTTTATTTTAATAAAATCGGCAAGCTATTTATATATGTATATTCGTATATTGCCAAATTTTATTACCAAAAAAGTTGAGTCTGATTATGCTTGGAATTAAAATATATGATTAATTATACATGTATATTCTAATTATAGGGAAACAATGGCAACAATTGAAACAGCAACGGCCAACTTCAGGTCCTTGACACTCAGGCTATACATTGTAGTCTATAAGAGTGTTAAACAGCATAACCAGTGAATTATATAAACAACGATTCAGTATCAGCTATACATTGTGGTCTAAAAGAGTGTCCGCATAACCAGTGAATTATACTCCCTACATCCCTTAAAACTTTGTCATCTTTCCTTTTTGGGACGCCCCAAAAAACTTTGACACTTTCCCTTTTAATCAATTATTTTGTAGTTTCTGTTATTTCTCTCTTCTACGCAAACCTCAACCACACAGTTTTAACTTTGGCAAAGTTTTAAGGGACGGAGGGAGTATTTACAACCCAGAATGGCTTCAAGAAAGTCTACACTTGGGCATGCTGGACCAGCATATTGCGCTAGTGAGAGCCCCATTAAACGACATTGTATGACTTATAGATCAACTACTGAGCAATATGAAGCTCTTGTTTGGTTATGAAGTAGCGACCAATAGCACTTCCTTGCTCTATCATGAACTGCTCCTGAAATGTTCCCATTCTCTTGCTGGGTAAATCCAAAGACAGATCTTTAAAATTTGGCACGCCCTCAACTTGCAGACCATCCCCACATATAAGAAATTGATTCCCAACAATAAACGATCCTGAAACACGAATTGCAACTACATCTTGACTGTGGGCCCGACACTGTAGTTTTTCTACAACATGCACAAGCTTTTCTGGTGGCCACTCCCCAGCTAGCGTACTTCGAATATTTGATAATGTTGTAAATATATCATTTGGCCCGACAGATTCTTTTCCACAAAAACTGCAATCATAAAACAAAGGGATAACTGTCAACTTTTCTTTCTGATTATTCACTTTTGCACAACAATTATAAGAAAAAATGTTATATAAACTTACAGGTTTTACCCCAAATTACAATCCTAACAGATTTTCAAAGATATTATGGGCTCGAATGTCATAAGTTTGATGTCTCAATTTTACTCGGCATTTACATTAAGGTAAATTATTGATACCTTCAATTAAATGCTAGGCCAGCACAAATCTAGACGAAATGTTAATAAACTATGTATATCCAGATGTTCCGAAACTGTAACATTTCTCTATCAAATTATTCTGAGTACAAACAATTTGTTTTTTCGAAGAAAAATCAGCAATATTTTGGCATGGGCTACAACAGCAAAATCCCATGGTCCCATGGATTCCATTCAAGAGAGAACTCCTGGAAGAAAATCATTGGCGAACTGACCGGCCCCCTATTTGAGCAATTGGCAGCACTTCACCACGTTGATGCAGTCACTTATTTTGCCAACACATTCCCGGCTCGATTGGCACACCTGCTCTTCCCAGCATGTTCAATTGGGATTATATTTCAATTCACTTAAACCAGAAAATTCATGTGAAGTTCAGGCCAAGTGATGTGGTTGATTTGCCCAAGAGTTGCATACCACAGGCTGCACGTAGGTTGTCCAGTTGCCAGAAGACGCATCCCAATTTTTTCTTAGTGATCTACCCTTATCAGTGATTGGGGGGGTATCGATGGACCCAAAACACTTCAGTTTTTAGCCGGGTAGCGAACAGTGAAGCTAGCCCCTTGGAAGATACGCAGAGCTTCGGAGTCCAGTTGGGAAATGGAAAACATGCACAATCATTTGGTAAATACTCTGAGTTACCAGCCAATTTGGACCAGTTACAATCTTATTGGAATGCTACTTGTTTCCCACTTTCCCACTTGGGCGGAGTGGGCATCATTTTTGGCTTGGCTTGGCTCAAGACTTGAGGGATGTCACTGCTAATTTTGCTGAGAAGATCGTGAAACTCAAGGACTCAAGTTGGACAACCAATTGGTTCAACTGGCAGGTAAGCCATCTATGCCTCGTCTACCCGTGTTGTTCAATTCTTTGGAACACATGACTGACATGGATAATTTTTACCTCCTTTGGAGCTTGAATGACTATCATACTACAGATTATGAAACAAGTGAAATATCTTTGGCTCAACAAACTCAGTTAACATTCTTGCAAACACACTGCCAAGTTTTTGGAAAACCACAAGACCTTCCCCCATCGTGGATACATGAAGGGTGGAATATCTCCAGTTAATGTTAAGATATGGCATAGTCAGAAAGACAAAGTTGAACGGTTAGTGGAAGAAATTCTGACCACAGGTGTTATACAACCTAGTTTCAGACCACTTTTTAAGCCCATTTCTCTTGGTTGTGAAAAAGGATGGGAGTTGGAAGTTTTGTGTTGACTACCATGAATTGATCAAAGCTATAGTACCGAATAAAAATGCCCAATACCGGTCATACAAGAGATATTGGATGAGCTCTATGCCATTCAGATTGATTAACACGCCTGCAACCTATAAGAAATTATGAACAGCATCTTTTGTCCATACCTTTGGTGATTTGTCCTGGTATTTTTTGATGACATACTTGCACTTTTTTGTTTTCTTACTTGTATACTCCCTTTATATTTTAAAAGATCGCTACATTAGCTTTGGCACATTATTTAAGGAGTAAAGTAGTAGGAGTGATGAATAGTGTAGAAAAAGTAGAAGAGAGGGGGTCAAAGTATGAAAGAGAAGATAACAAGTAGAAAAGGTAAGGGTGATTGCGTCTTTTTAAAGGGAAAACTTACCAAAAGCGGAAAGTGTAGCCGACTTTTAAATACATCCCAAAAAAGAGAAAGTAGAAAACTTGAGAATACGGATGGAGTATAGTATTTCATGAAAAGACCATTTGCAACATCTGACAATGGTGATGGGAATTTGATAAATTAACCAGTTGAATGCAAATCAAAAAATGCAGCTTTGGAAAGACATCAATAGAATATCCTAGGCATATTGTGCCCCAGTTCGGGTTGGCTCTAGATCCATAAAAAATTAGCAGCATGCTTTGTTGGCCCCAACCAAAATGTCCCAAGGCCATGCGGGGATTCTTAGGCCTCACAGGATATTGTTGCCTGTTCATTCAGGATGATGGCAAGATCGCCCAGTCTCTTATTAAAGAAAAATTATTTAACCCGGTTCCAATGGTCACAGCCTATGCCTTTGAGGCATTAAAAGCAGAAATGACCTCGTCACCTATTCTTGCAACCCTAGATATTTGTTTTCCATTTATGATTGAATGTGATTCTTCAGGATCAGGGGTGGGAGCTGTATTGATGTAGGGACCCCAACTGATTCCATATTCTATAAATGTATTCTAGGCATATAATTTAGGATATTATTATTGTATAGAATCTTATATAGGAATATTCTATTTGTATTGTATATTTATAGGGACTTACACAACTAATGAAATACACAGAAAATCTTTCCTCCCCTCTTCAATATTATTCTAGTTTATATTTCAACAACCTTCAACTTTTTAATGTGGTGGTAACTTAAAAAAGGCCTAGTGTATTTTATTTAATAAAACGCCCATATATTAAAGATTAAACATGTGTCCACACTAAACCATAACAAGCCTAATTTGATTCATAAATATTCATTTAAACCCTAATGTATGCTTTCTGTGAAAGCATTATTGTATCTAAGAATATGCTTTAGGAATATGCTCTAGAATATGCTTTAGGAATATACTCTAGACATTATTATTGTATAGCATCTTATATAGGAATATTCCATCTTTGTAATATGAATAGGGCTTTAACCCTCTAATGATATACACAGACAATCTTTCCTCCACTTTTCAATATTATTCTAGTTTATATTTCAAAATGGTATCAGAGCCATAAACAAAAAAATCAGAAAATCAAATTAGCATAGCTAATTTCCCAGAAAATCAAATTAGCATAGCTAATTTCCCAGAAAATCAAATTAGCATAGCTAATTTCCCAGAAAATCCGTTCGCATACAGTCTGCCCGCCAGACCTCAGAAATTTTCAGGCCACACATTCCATCACCGCCGTACCCAGGTCGTGCGCCTACCTCCGACGAACCAAAAACCAAAATCCGACACCTAAACACCACGCGAGTGAGCTACACGCGCCGCCACAGCTCGGCGACTTCATCTCACTCTCCGGCGCGTGGCGTCTGTTCTGCGGCCAGATTTCCGATCGACATACGCCGACCGGCTCACCTACATATCGCCTATCCATTTCTGTCGCTTCTCTTTGGGGTGGTTAGGATTCGTTCCAGCTCTGGCAGCACAAGCTTCTTCCTTGCAGCCTTCATGACCGACCATTATTGACGAGGGTTTTGGTCTTCAGCCAGCTCGCACACTCTCTTCTGGTAAGGATATCTTCACAGAGCCTCTACTTATTGTGCGGACATGGAGAATACAACACTCAAAGAATATTGAGGTTACATTCCTTTATTTTATTTTATTTTGCTTAAAAAAACTATTAAAAAAACAAAAAAAAAAGTACAAAAGCAAAAAAAAAGAGAAATGTTTTGTACGGGTAAATTTGACAAAGGAGTAATATGCAATTACTGCAAGAAGCCCGCCCGGACACTTGATCAAAGAATGTAAAAAATTGCTATTCAAAAATCAAGGAAATCGGCTTGTTCATGTTGCTTCCGCTACCAATTCCTCTGATGGATCAATTGATATTTCTTCAGACGAGTATGCCAAATTTAATTGCTACCAAGAATCACTAAAGCATTCCTCTGTCCCTACTTCGGTAGTTGCTAATTCAGGTATTTCAAACACGTGTCTTGTTTCCTCATCCTCGAAATGGGTCATTGACTCAGGTGCCACAGATCATATGACTGGTAATCCTAGTCTATTCTCATCATTGCATTCATATTTACCTACTTCTAGTGTCACTTTAGCTGATGGATCTACCTCACCTATTCTTGGATCCGGTACTGTTGTCCCAACTTCTACATTACCATTACCACCTATTTTGAGTCTTCCTGATTTTGCATTTAATTTGCTTTCCATCAGTAAAATCACACGTACTCTTAATTTTTCTGTAACATTTTTTCCTGGATATTGTGTGTTTCAGGATATGTTGACAAAGCAGACTATTGGTAAAGGACATGAGTCGGTTGGTCTCTATATTTTGGATACATCAATCACAAAAGGTATATCTTGCCTTGGGGTTGGAAATCTATTAGAAGCTCATTACCGATTAGGACATCCATCTCTCCCACTAATGAAGCAAATATATACTCAGTTCAATAAGGTGTCATCTATACAATGTGAGTCGTGTGAATTTGCAAAACATCATCGTACTATTTTAAGTCCTCGACTTAATAAACGAGCAAACGCTTCGTTTGATCTTGTTCATACTAATATTTGGGGGGCATGTCCTGTTGTGTCCAAATTTGGTTTCAAATATTTTGTTACATTTGTTGACGATTATTCTCATATGACATGGTTATACTTTATGAAACGTCGATCAGAGTTATTTACTCATTTTTCTGCATTTTGTGCTGAAATTAAAACTCAATTTAATGTTCATGTTCGTGTGTTGAGGGGAGACAATGCCCAAGAATATCTCTCGGCTCCATTTAAATCTTTTATGCTTCAAAATGGCATTATTCATCAAACTTCATGCGTAGACACACCTCCACAAAATGGAGTCACAGAAAGAAAGAATCGACATCTGTTAGAAACTGCAAAGGCTCTTCTATTCCAAATGAATGTGCCTAAACAATTTTGGGCGGATGCCGTGTCTACCGCATGTTTTTTGATAAATCGTATGTCGTCTTCTGTTTTAAATGGTAAAGCTCCTTATCACTGCCTGTTTCAAAATAAAGAGCTTTTTCCTATCCCACCTAAAACATTTGGTTGCATTTGCTTTGTTAGAGACGTTAATCCTCATCTTACAAAGTTAGACCCCAAATCATTAAAATGTATTTTTTTGGGTTATTCTCGAGTTCAGAAGGGGTATAGATGTTTTTGTCCAAGTACAGATCGATATCTTGTTTCCATTGATGCATCATTTCATGAAAATACACCTTTTTCATCATCCAAGACAGATATTCATGGGGACACTGATGAAATACTCATTTACTCTGTCACTATACCAGAATCTACACCTTCTGTAGTTATTCCACATGTTACTGTTCCTGACCCCAGACCGCCAGTACACTTGGTTTACACCCGTCGAAATAGAGCACCAGATCACCCTCCACGTGTGCCCCTGTGATTACTTATCCTGATACTGGTCCATCCTTGAGCTCGTGTCCTGAACCAGTACATGCATCTTCAGATCTTGTCTCTACATCAGATCTTGACCTTTCGATAGCACTACGTAAAGGTACACGGTCTTGTACCCATCTTATTTCTTCATTTGTGTCGTATAGTCAGTTATCCCCTGCCTCATGTTCTTTTATTGCTTCCATCGATTCTATTTCTGTTCCTAAATCTGTTAAAGAAGCTTTGTCTCATCCTGAATGGCGTCATGCCATGGTAGAGGAAATGAATGCTTTGGATCTTAATGGTACTTGGGATTTGGTATACTTGCCTACAGGGAAGAAGTCTATTGGATGTAAGTGGGTCTTTGCTGTTAAGGTTAATCCAGACAGATCTGTTGCTCGGTTGAAAGCCCGATTAGTTGCGAAGGGTTATGCTCAAACCTATGGTGTTGATTATTCTGACACTTTTTCTCATGTTGCTAAATTAACATCTGTCAGGTTACTTATTTCAGTCGCTGCAACTCATGATTGGCACTTACATCAGTTGGACATTAAAAATGCCTTCTTACATGGTGACCTTCAGGAAGAAGTTTACATCGAGCAACCTCCGGGGTTTGTTTCTCAAGGGGAGTATGGTAAAGTTTGTCAACTTCAAAAATCTCTTTATGGTCTGAAATAGAGTGCTCGTGCATGGTTTGGGAAGTTTAGTCGATCAATTGAACAATTTGGAATGGTCAAAGGCAAATCAGATCACTCTCTTTTACAGACGAACGAAAGCAGGTATCACATTGCTTGTGGTGTATGTCGATGATATTGTGACTAAAGGCAGTGATAATGCAGGTATTTTGGCCCTTAAAAATTATCTTCATAGCCAGTTCCAAACAAAAGATCTAGGCTCATTGAAATACTTCTTGGGTATTGAGGTAACACGGAGTAAGAAAGGCATATTTCTATCTCAACGAAAATATGTACTTGATTTGCTCGCTGAAACAGGGAAGTTGGGATCAAAGCCGAGCAATACTCCCATGGTTCCCAATGTGCAACTCACTCAAGAAGGCATGTCATTTGAAGATCCAGAAAGATATAGACGATTGGTTGAAAAGCTTAATTATCTCGCAGTCACTCGTCCAGATATTGCTTACTCTGTGAGTGTAGTGAGTCAATACATGTCATCTCCCACAATTGATCATTGGGCATCTGTAGAACACATATTATGTTACTTAAAGGGAGCACCAGGACGAGGTATTGTTTATCAAAACCATGATCACGTGAGAATAGAGTGCTTTGCAGATGCCGATTGGGCCGGTTCTAAAGATGATTGAAGATCTACATCTGGCTATTGTGTCTTTATTGGTGGTAATCTTGTATCCTAGAAGAGTAAGAAACAGAATGTGATTTCTCGTTCTAGTGCTGAATCAGAATATCGAGCTATGGCACAATCCGCATGTGAGATAATATGGATACACCATTTATTGAATGAATCGGATTGAAGACAACAATGCTTGCTCAGTTGTGGTGCGACAACCAAGTTGCTATACACATAGCAAACAGCCCCGTATTTCATGAGAGAACAAAGCATATTGAGTTTGATTGCCATTTTATTCGAGAGAAGATACAAAAAGGATTTATCTCTACCGGATATGTGAAGACTGGAGAACAACTTGGAGATTTATTCACTAAAGCTCTAAATGGGATTCGAGTTGATTACTTATGTAACAAGTTGGGCATGATAAATATCTATGCTCCAACTTGAGGGGGAGTGTGAAAGCATTATTGTATCTAAGAATATGCTTTAGGAATATGCTCTAGAATATGTTTTAGGAATATACTCTAGGCATTATTATTGTATAGCATCTTATATAGGAATATTCCATCTTTGTAATATATATAGGGCTTTAACCCTCTAATGATATACACAGAAAATCTTTCCTCCACTTTTCAATATTATTCTAGTTTATATTTCAACACTTTCTATTAAGCATTTAAGCACACTCATTGTCGTTAACAAATTCCCATACTTCTGCACAAAGATGTTTTCATACCCCTGCAAAAAGAAGTCTGACAACTTCTTACGAACACACTTTAGAGGAAAAGCTTCCTTTCTTCGAGACAACTTCTCTTCTCCTCTCTTCTTCTGCATCCCCTTATCCTCTTCTTCTCCTCCTCTTCCTATTCATCTCATCCCCTTCTTCATCCCCTTATCCTCTTCTTCTCCACCTCTTCATGTTCATCTCCTCTCCTTCTTCATCCCCCCTCCTCCACTTCTTCTTCTCCTCTTGTTCTTTAACTTCTCTTACTGAGTTAATGGCCATGTTTTCTTAGAACTGACCAAGATTCTTGATAATGATAATGAAAAGGATGAGGGTGATGGGGCTATAAGATATGATATTCTTCTAAAGAGCCTTCCAGTCATGCTGATTAAGCTTCAAGGTTTTTAAATTGAATCTGTGTGATGTGTCTTTTGTGTGTTTGAAATCTCATTTTGAACTATCACGTTTGATGATGTGAATCATGTGATCACGTGTATGTGTTTATAACTATTTATAATTATGCATATCTTTACCTGGTTATTACTAGTTTAACTAATTTTAGTTTAATTTGTTGGTATATTCTGAGGCTTACGCCTCAATACACCTCAAGGCTTATGCCTCACCTTCTGGAATATACCATCTCAATGACCAAACTAGCCTTTTCAAACCTCAATGGCAATGATACACATACAAAGGGGTGGATAATGTATTCCAAGAAAAAGAAAGGCAAACAAACAATTGTGGAGACCTATTCCAAGAAAAAGAAAGGCAATCATACAATTGTGGAGACCAATCAGCAGTAGAATCAGTGATGAAGCATAATTTCGGGGATAGCACAGTTAAAGAGATTGATCATTAATAGTTGGATCAGCACAATTTAAGGGATTGATCATTTATATTGATATACTTAATTTATTTATATATTACAATTTATTATAAATAAGGTGAGGAGGTTGATCATTTATATTGATTAGACCTGGACAAAACCGGCCCGGCCTGCCCGGCCCGCCCAGCCCACCCGCATAAATGGGCGGGCTTGGGCATATATATTTACCCACCGGGCCGGCCCGAGCCCGGCCCACAATAAGATATGGGTGGGCTTGGGTTAGGGTGTAGGCCCGTTCGGGCCGATAAGCCCGGCCCGCTACATTTAGTATATATAAATATATATATTTATATATATACTAATTTATTTATTTATTTGCATGTACACATGTATATTTATATTGACTAATTTTTCTTTATACATATTCATAGTTTATTATGTTTAAATTTAAATTTTTAGTTCTTAACAACTAGCCCAACCAGTATAATATCTATTTTTGTACTTAAAGATAATACTTTGTGCTTAAATTTTAAATTTTAGATATAGTTTCTCATTATTATTTTTGTGTAAGTATTTTTTTGTATGTGGTGAAAGACGTATAAACATTATAAGCATATTAATTATTTTTTAAATGTTGTAATATTATTTTTAAAGTATTTAAATAATCATATCATTTTGAAAAAATTAAAGTTTTCCCGGGCCGGGCGGCCCGGTGGACTACCCGGCCCACTCTTATGGGCGGGTATGGACATAGGGTTAGGCCCATTTTTGCGGGCCGGGCCGGGCCCGCCCACACATTATGGGCATAAAATTTATAAAAAGTCCGGCCCGAGCCCGGCCCGAACCCGTTTTGTACAGGTCTAATATTATTGATATACTTAATTTATTTATATATTACAATTTATTATAAATAAGGTGAGGAGAGATCATATTGAGAGTTACTATAATAACTTGCTCCCTCCATCCCAATTTCACTTGCAAAATTTCCTATTTTGATTGTCACTGATTGATTTTCTACTTTCTATTTTAGAATAAAATAACTTTTATTGAGGGTTTAGTCTTGCTCCTGTCTCTTTACTCTATTAGTTATAGTCTCGTTACTCATAATATGATACAATTCATGATTCAAAATAGGTACGCCGAATTTAGGATTCGATACTCATTAGAAAACCTGCTTTTGGTGCCACATTCGAATTTTTTGCAACTATAAGTCTATAATAGATTATCAAAACCGAATGTGTTCTTAAAAAAACTAAATAATTTTGAACTTCAACTTTTCTTAATTTTATGCTTTTTAATTTTTTCTTAACCACATTATGTGTGCTTTATTTATCTTCAAGATATGCCATTGAACTTCAATGATGAATTATTATTCTATCTTATTTTTTAAATTATTTTATGTAACAAGTCAAATCTTATACCGCATTTTCCCTTGAGGCTTACATCTCATGAGGCCAAGGCCAACCACCTTAAGTCCCAACTTTGTCTTTCAAAACATTGCGGGAAAGGGGATAGGTATCCCTTGGAAAAAGATTGGGAGGTCAAGACTTGAGGCTATAAAATAAAATTCCATGGAGAAAGCATACTGCATCGCTTACCTGAAGATAGAGAATTCTGTATAAAGCATCCTAGTATGTAGCCAAAGATCGTCAGACCCGTCAAACAATAAATAGTAGTGTATTGTGAACATCTAGAAAAAACCAATGACATAATATTAAATTAATCAAGTGTCAATAATAACGGAATGAAATGTGAATCAACAAAAATTTAGTAAAAAAAATAGTGTGTAGTCGTGCACTGATTCATGGGATCCCCCACTAACAGACACTATTTCACTTACATCTGCAAGATCCCTCATCTTCTCTGTTGGATCAAAAATACTTCGGACAAATGCACCTAAGTCGACTCCCATAGTATCCACATACTTGGTAATGAATGAGTGTGAAAGAAGCTACAATTATATGAGCAAGAAACGGATCAATGAACAATAAAATTTTGTGGGTAGTATTACTAGAAAGTCCAACATAAATAAATAACTTTAACCTGGAAAACAGAGATGTTTAGCATTCGCTAAACTCTAAATAGATGTAACATAACTGAAAAGTGAAAACTAATACTTCATCCATTCTATAATAGTTGCAACATTGTGATTTTTGCACTATTCACACACCTTACTTTGACGATAATTTCTACTAATATATATAATCAAATTATTATAAAATGTTATTAAATTTCTATTAATATGAATTTCAAAATATTAACTTTTTAAAACATATACTAATACGTAACTAAATAGTCAAGGTTGTTCGTTGGCAAATGTGAAAGTCAAACTATTGCAACTTTTAAAGAACAGAGGATAGTAACAAACTTAATTTAACAAAAACGCCCTGAGTAGATTTATAGCAATCTCATATGGCGTGTCTTGTATTATTATATTATATTAATTACTATTATTATCACTATTGTTATTAGTATTACTAATTTATTATTATTATTATTTATTATTATTGTTGTTGTTTTACTCTCTCCGTCTCACTTTGTAAGATATACTTTCCTTTTTGGGTTGTCCCAAAAATATGAACATCATCATCATTACCTCCAGGGCCTCAAAGGATCCATCTTACTCTTTCTTACTTTTTGGAGCTTAGAATTATAAAACAATTACTTTATCCTTTATTTCATTAAAACCCGCACCAAACACACATGTATCTTACATTACGGGACGAAGGTAGTAATAGTTAGTAGTAGTTTGCTAAGCATTGCTGATTACTTATTCAGTGTAAGTCAATTTCTTATTAGCCTAAATTTATACTTCATATGGTCATTAGGACTTCATATGGTCATTAGGACTCTTGCAAGAGCTATATAAGGAATTAAGGATCACCCATATTAATCAATAAACTACCTCTGGTGTGTATTGACAAGGTCAGGACTGATTAATTCTAGCTTTCCTAGATTTGAAATGAGCTCACACAAGAACACCCATAACTTAATCTCCCTTGACAGACTTTGATTGGGCAAGTAAAATACGGATTCAGGAATTTACATACTATGGAGTAAATAAACAAAATCTTTCTTTCTGTATGCAAAATGTTTCTAGATGAAAGCAAAGGGTAAGAATATAGAATGCCTAAAGAGTAAGTGTATGCGTCTTGTCTAAGGTCGAGATTGAGAGAACAGAGAAGCAACTGAAACAACGAAATAAATCTAAAGGGGGAAATGGGGAATAATCAGTTCCTGACCTTGTTGGGATCAGTGTTGCCAATGCAGGATAGTGGCCTACCAAAGAACAGTTAGTGGCGAGCATAGTCAAAGAAGCAAAGTCTCTGGTAATCGTCATTCGTCAAAGATTTTCTACTTTAGTGGGTAGTTTATTGAGCAATGATACTGGTTCATTGAAGAAGCAATGAAGAAATGACTCAGAAATATGTTTTTGAAGATTGGATGAGTACTTTGCTGGGTACTGTTTTGAACTTTGACACTGGTCCACAGTCATGGAAGCAGAAATGAAGAAACTGACCTAGAAAGATATTGTTGAATTATATTTCTTAGTATAAAAACTAGTAGATGAAGTGTAACACACTCAGTTACTGATACATTTGTAGAAGCCAGTATAGAAAACAGTAGATGAAGAGTACGCAACCACCCATAATAGGAAAACATTCAGCTACAGATATATCAATTTCACATGGCATGTAACTTCTTACCTCCTCTGCAGTCGGCCTGGTATCTGGATTTTTTTGGAGGCAAGAATCGACAAATGAGCAAAATTCAGGTGAAAATTCATGGCTCGGTAGTGATGGAGAAGGATCATCGAGGATCTGTAAACACAGGAAATACAAGTATACAAAATTAAACCTTGACAGTTTGGAATTTAAAATAGAAGTCAACAACTAGAAATGAAAGAACTACAAAAAATATGGGGCAATTGTCCGCAGTAAAACTTTAAAGTATCAATAGTTTAACAGACTAAGCCATATTTGAAAATAAACTAATGGTGATATCATAAGATAGAACGAGTGACACTCAATGAGAAAAGATAAGAAGAAGCTTTTCTCCCATTTTGCAAAGAATTGAGAAGAATAGGAGACAAAAGGTTAAGGGCTCATGTGAATGATCTCGTTCAAGGCTGAGAACTTGATAAAGAGAGAGATGAAGAACAATCAGGATTCCTGAAACAATCTTGAGGATTCAGTTCTTGTTATGAACAAGGGAGAATGTTTAGCTAAACTTAATATTGAATATATCAAGACACTAAATTAATTTCGGATAAGCAGTTTATCAAAAATAAGAACCCCTTATGTAGCTATTACAGAGTCTTAAACTGAAAAGCAAGATAGAAATGTAATATTAATACAACTAGATTAAAGGAAGACGTACTACGTACTAAACAAGAGCTCAGAAATAATGAAAATAATAACAAAAGAAATTGCTATAAATAAGAGTAAAAACAAGGTGGTTTCCCTAAGTAGGAGTACCATGTTTTTCTCTAAATAGGAGCAAGTATTGCCATCCTGAGAAACCATACTATCATTCATTCATACTGAGATCATACTTCCATCTTTTTAGGTGTTACCTATTTAAAGAAAACATATAGCACTTCTGTTTAGGAAAACCGCCTTGTTTTACTCCTATTTTGAGAAATTTTGCTAATAATAACTTGACTGCTTGCTCTTGAAGCAAGACAGGCGTGTGGGCTTTGCCCACCATCAACCATTTTTGTGTTTAACCCAGTTGTCCTTGCACTTCAGATTTTTAACCGACCTCATCACTCATATGTTTGGCGATAGTATTAGGGCCTTAAGGGTGAGCATTCAGTTGATCGGTTACATAACTGACTGAAAACCAAAAAATCAAATGTCAACAATAGTGTTTCTGAATAACCGATCTTTCAATGCATGCTTTCCAACTCCAAACTTCTTATACATAATTTTTTAATGCATAATTACCAGAAAATATTAACTGAGAGTATAAAGATGAAGAGAAAATATTAACTGGGTGTATAAAAAGTTTGGTTAATTATTAAAAAACAAACTAATGTGCAAAAATCGAGAACAATGTATTCTAATGTCAATTGGTTTTGGGCTTGCAAGGGGAAATGTAGACAGAGTAAAGCTGACTTTACTATGATCAGGCCTCTGTGGATTTTATTTATATTATTATAGGGAGCTGGAAGTCTCGAATCTCTCGATTATTCGGTCACCGACCGAAACACTGAGTGTGAAACTGAGTATTCAGTGACTACCTGAATTTTTCATAAATTAATAGCCGAAAACCTAACTTATCTTTAGGTTCAGTGTTTGGTTTACTGTTTGATAAGTTTACTTGGTTATTTTTCACCTCTGCATAGAATTGGACCTTAAAAGAAATGTTGTACCATCTTCTTTTAACACCCATTCCTTTTTAATATTCAATAGAGAATGTTAAGGGTATATTTGTCTTTCTAACAACAACATACACTTCTTTCTATTACTCACTTATTTCTTTCTTACAAAACAGTACACAAAACCTACCCAATTTCTCCAACAATTCTGTCTTCTCCATCTCCTTCCCACCCATCTCTCGGTTCTTTTTTTCCCTAGACCAAAAAAAGGCTACAAGAGTGCAATATAAAGCTAAAGTACAACCTGCAACATGAGATTGACAGGTCCTTCATTTGCCTTATATGGGAATTCACCGGTGCCGCATTCAAAAAGTGAAATTCCAAGGCTCCATATGTCAGCTGGATAAGAATAATTTTCATTTCGAATTCTTTCAGGTGACATGTACGTAACTGTCCCAACAAAGGTGGCACACTGTTGAAAAAAGTTCAGTAGTGAGCAAAAGACTATGGGATAAGACCATTCATCTCCGCAGATATTAAATTATTTGAAATTGATGGAGAGTGAAAGGAGATTTAGGTGGAGGTATATGAAGTATCAATTCACTAACCATTGCCATGGAGTTCTCTAATCCAGCACTTACACCAAAGTCGGTTATCTTTGGCTCCCCCTTGAGATTGACAAGTAAATTTGCTGGCTTTATATCTCTGTGAACCAAATGGCGAACTCCATGCAAATAATAAAGTCCCTAACGATAATGAAACACAAATAAGCATAGCCTAGATGCATAGAAGCCATAGCGTATACCGTAAAAGGGAAAAAACAAAGGTGAAGAATGAAGATAAAGACTTACCTGTAAGAGCTTTTGAACCATGGAAGAAAGTATTGGCTCTGGTATGCGTTTACGCATTCTTATGACATCAGCTAAGGACCCACCATCCATGTATTCTAAAGCTATGCTTATTTGCCCGGAATCTGGAGTATAAAATGCTCCATAGAATTCAACAAGGCCTTGACAACAAGGTGCTTCACACAAAGTGCTTATTTCAGTAAGAAGTTGTTGCCTTTTCTCCTAATGTGCAAAAGTGGTCAACTATTTGAGATCGATAATGCATAAGGCATAATTTTCATTTGTTATATGTGATGATGCATGATACCATTTGATGAACTAATTACTTACTTGCTCCTGGACTTTAAACTTATTAATTAGTGCATAGGAGTAAAAATGTTTTGGAATTCCAAAATAGGAGCACTACGTTTTTATTCCTTAAATAGGAGTAATTACTATCATGCTTGGAAAATACCGTCAGTTATGGAAGTATAAAATGTGGCAGTAATTTATCAGGATGACAGTAAGTTAATCCTATTTTGGAACTTTACATTGTTTTTGCTCCTATTTCGGGAATTTCCCCCAACTATTATTATGCATGACTAGAAGCATAGTTTAGATGTTGAATATAGATATCTCAGTGAAAGGGGTATCTATTGTACAAATTCTTGAAATGATTGAAAATCTAGGTGGTGAATATGAATATCTCAGTGAAAGGAGTATCTCTTGTACAAATTCATGAAATGGTTGAGAATGGAAAATGTTTAGAACTTCCTTTGCTCCCAGTTACAATTCATTAGGAAAAAAAGTTCCAAATATAATCAGATATGACAAAAAGAATGTGAGACCAGATTCCAACACCAGCAAAAATTTACAAAGAAACAGCTTAACCTTCTCAAAGATATTAATTTTCTTCAAGGCAATAACTCTGTGAGTGGGGATATGAATAGCTCTTTGAACAACACTGCTTGCACCACTTCCTATGGCTCCAAAAACCCTCATCTCATGTGAAGCACACCTATATGTCTTTTCACCGTGATCAGGATCTTCAACCGGCCATGAATGACACTTTTGCAGTCCAAGCTCGTTAAAGTTGTACACACCGTACGATCGACTCAACAAATTCACAGTACCGCCATCAGAAAGCTGTGTAGGAAAAAAGAGTAATTCGTGTGTGTGAAATAGCTGATTTCAAAAACAAGGTTTGCGAACAGAGATTCACTTACCACGTACGAGTCAGATGGGTCCAATGCTGAGGAAGATGGGAACCCTTTTTCAGAATCAAACAATGGTGCAAGCTTCCTTTTTAAATCTTCTAATCCAGCCATGGCCAAGAAAACTTTCAAAAGTGTGCTATAAATCAAAATTCCCCAGGCAAACAAGGAAGCATAAAAGAAGGTTAATTTAGGAATTTTATCAATAAAGATAGATTAATTATCAATTCGGGACCTGAAAGATAAAATGCATCGATATAGGACCCGAATGATGAAAAACTATCAATTTAAGATTTGAATGATTGAAAATTATGGGGGTGTTTGGATCCGATTTTTAAAACTGCTTCTGCTCCTTCAGGGAGCAGAAGCAGAAGTTGGAATGTTTGGGTGAAAATGCAGAAGTTGGAGAGTAACAGCTTCTGAAAACTGATTCTGATTCTGCTTCTGCTTTAAAAAAGAAGCAGAAGCAGAATCAGTTCCAAACACCCCCTATTAATCTAGGACCTAAGTTGTCATAATTTTTTTTATTGAAAAATTTTAAATTTTATTTCGTTTTATTAAACTAATAAACTTTTGTGAAGAAAAGTTTATCAAAAATTAGTAATGAAATTAATAAAAAATTAAATAAACCAAAACCTATGAAACGTTAGGTCCTAAATTGATAGTTTTCCATCATTCGGGTCCTATACCGATACGTTTCATCTTTCGGGTCCTGAATTGATAATTAATCTATTTTTCGGGTCCTGAATTGATAAAATTCCATTAAGTAATGAACATTATACTTCTAAGTAGCCCCAAAACCATCAATGAGAAAGATTTTAAACAAATAAAGCAAGAGTTTGTTATTTCACATTTGTCTAATGATATCAAAATCATTTAAAGATGACAAAAGGAGGGTATGGAACAATTAAAGATGTGTAAGCATCTGCTTCCTAGCAATAACACTTTGATGTAAACGGTTAAATGAACCTCATATATCAAAACGGGAAGTGCAAAGTGCAAACCCCTTTTCAAATGATTAGAGTTGTTCAATTCCCAAACTAGATGACTAAAAACCATTTCAAATGGTACCACACAAAAAAAGAGTTTTTTCAAAATAATGCTAAATAAAAAAATATTTACAAATAAGAGTCGGATTAAAAAAAAACTCTTTTTTAAAAATATTTATACTACGTAACTTTTATATTTATCATCCGAATTTCATAAAAAATATATCAAATTTTTTAAATTTTTATTATATTTCATACGACACCAATATAAAAATAAAAGTAATTCTAAATATATGATGACTAAAGTTTTTCGAGCTACAAACTTTTTTAAGTAGATCTATATTCTAAAATTAAGACATCCCTATTTTTTAGAGCTCTTTGGGTAACTTTTAAATTGACTGTGATTTCCTATTGGCTAGCTCATAGGTTGCTTCTTGCTTCCTTGGGAGTGGTTGGGCGAGTGAAGTTAAGCCAAACTAGCCAAAATAATTGGCGGCTTTGAGTTTGTTCGAACAATATTTTGGTAAATAGTTTTAACACGATTCTAATTTCGTACATAATTTTTTGTTTAGCATTATTTTTGAAATAAACTCCAAAATAAATCCTAATCTTATTTCATTTAAATCGAAGTTTGAATCATTCATCACGTCCCAAATTAATACAAAAGTAATTAAACAAAATATATTCAGTCCTACCGTATATGTGCACGAAAAAATTACTCCGTAATATTTTTAAAGTGATTAAATGTTTAATAATCAGTTGTCTATGAAAAAAACTAAAAGCTATCAAAACTTTATAAAATGTAGCAATAAATGAACTAATCTAAAAAAATCAAATTAAAGTTTAAAAGCAAGCAATTAAATCATGTTCTGTTGTGAGCAACTCTTACACACGTGTATAGAGTGAGTGACTCTTACACATGCATAGAGTGAGTGAGATCTTATATGGATAGATATTTATATTAGGTATTGTTTTTCCAATTGAGAAATTGGCTTGAAAAACTAAAAGCGTGCTATTACTATTTTTTTTTAACTTGCACTTTAAAATAGTCAAATGCTAAAAAGTCTATAATCATACAAATGAGAATACAAATGAGACAACGGGACAGAATGGGATGACGTTTTGATGTCTCGGTCATGTCCCGCTTAAAATTTGTACGAAACAGAATGGATCAAGTCCTAAACAGAACGAGACAATACCGGAAGGATTCCGGGATATTTTGGAATAGGTTAACGGAGTCGAGATTTTTGCAACCCCTAAGTACTACATAAAATAAAATGTAAAGAAATTGTCCAAAATATGAATAAAATGATACTAAATTCCAAAATATAATGAAGTATTACGTTTGATAGTCCTTAGGACCGGGGTAGGGAGAGTTAAGGAGAGAAAGAGCTTAATGTATTAAAAATGAAAGAGTAACGGTGTAGCCGATTTTTTTGGATCCCCCTCCACAAGCTGGAGGGTGACCTTAAACAGAGAAGATTACAGTCTTGGAGAACAAGTAAAAATGGCTAATCTAATTGGAGAAACAGTCATGTGTCCAAAATTACTTGGAGAATACTTATTAGTGAGAATTTGTTGGTTTTTTGCTGATTGATTCACTTGATTGATTGTGAGTCCTGATGGGCTATCCTGTTGAAACTGAACATCTAGGTGTTCACATGTGTACAACATGATAGCTAGCTTGTTAGTACAAATTTGCTGATGTCAGTTATGGAGTTAGTTATGAACTTTCCTTGATGATGTTATCCTTGATCTGTATGGAATGTCCGTGCAGCAACGGTTAAGTACGTGAGCATCTTTGCCATATACTAAGCTCGACTCTGCTTTGCTTAATTCGGAGCTCATTTGCTTACCTGAGGATCACTTGATTGGGCTCTGTGATGTTAGTTTTCTCGCACTTTAAAAGATTGTAGAATAGCGGTGAAAGTACGAGTATCGTCTCCACAGGGACGGACAAAAGGGAATCAAGGATTAATTAAATTCAGCGATTAAAAAAGAAAGAATAAAATAACATAAATGCGTCGTGCGAGATTGGTTGGTTGAATTAAAATTAAACTAATGCGAATGAACGATTAAAATAAAAGATTGGGTTCTCTCTAATTAACGACGAAGGGAACAGGGATTGATTCCGGGGTAATCAGATTTCTGGCAGATCAGGCTAATTACATGAAATTAATTTAATTGAGTCTAGCTAATCAATACTAAGTTCTTACCGCTCTCGCGGCGTAGAGTACAATAATTTAGGGGACCAGGCTGATCTCTCATGCGACAGGATCCTAAATTATTGCCAAGACGAACGATCTTACGGCCCCTTAATCGCTACTAATCTCTTAGCAAACGATTAAGTGTGTGTGAATGTGTCCTAGAATAAACTAGATCTCTCTTAATTTATTCTATGTGCAATTGTAATTCTAGCCGCGGTTCCAGGTTACAAAAGGTATCAGTTAAATTATTCAAACACAAATTAAACGGCATTCATGCAATTAAAACGAAAAGAATCTAGCCATCAATCATGATTAACCCCTTCATCAATCCCAAATCCCTAATTAAACTACTCACAATTCATAATTGAAGAATCAACAGAATTGGGAAGAATAGAATAAATTGTCATTAATTAAAAAGATGAACTTACAAATAATCCCAGGGTCTTGGAAGAAAATATCGTAAAAACGGTGTTAAATTCGTCCCTATGCCTCTCCGTAATGTTCGTGACAACTAAAAAGGGTTAGGGAGGCCTTATTTATAGAAAAGAGGGGGAAATCACAATTCTGGTCGATGTGGGAGATTTCCGCGCGTAACTCGGGGCTACGCACGATCATGCGTACCTGACTACGCACGATCGTGCGTAGCAGGCAGAGAATTCTTCGTGATTTCGTATCCGACGCACGATCGTGCGTACCAGACGCACGACCGTGCGTCCACTTTTTTTCCTTCTTTTTGTTGTCTTTTTGCCCCAACGCTCCCGCATGCAACCGGGGTCGATCCAAATGCTCTTACTTCATCAAAACATCATCCAAATCTTTCAAATCTTTCTTGATTGCTCTCTAGCTCCTCCCGATTGTCTCTCAAACGCCGATTGTCGGACTCTAACTTCTCCAATTTGACTCCAAATGCAACAAAACTCGACTCAATGCCTGGTAATCACAACTTGAGCTAAAATTGAGACTTGCAACACCTTAAAGCTAGGAAAACCATCAAAATCCAACCTGAACACGCATCAAATGCGTGTCTAAATACGGACTTATCAGACTCCCCCACACTTAAGTTTTTGCTTGTCCTCAAGCGAATCGAACAACGGGACTTACGATAATTACCACACGGAATTTAAAACAGTTAGCATGTGCACGTAGTTAAAGGGATATTCACTGAACAGACAATCTTAATCCAGAAAATTCTTCCCTAAACTGCATCTTTGTATTTTAGCTAACTTAAATGACAAAATTATTCACAACATCCTTGGAGTAATGGCAGCATACACAAATAAACTAGCTATTGATCAGAAGGACTTGTGAAGGTGACGGTGAATGGCAAAAAAAAAGTCCCTTTCTTTTGAGAGATTGGAATATTCTAGCAAAGACTCAATGCATTTAGGAACTTTTAGGGCTAACCTTAGGATCAAGGAACTTAGTAGGCCACAATTTAGGAACAATCATTTAAACCTATGCAAAGAGCAGGCATGGTGTACAACTAAGCTAAATCGCCGCGGCACATTGGTGCTTTGACGTATACTTGAAGTACGCGAAGGACTAATGCTAATTTTGCAATAGCCTCCAAGTTCATTAATTATGTTTAGTTTTTCTTGTCATGTTGGCACGAGAACGCCATTTCTTTCGAAAGATACCCAAGTCTCATCTTATTGTGCAAAACACTTACGCTTTTTGACCGGGGCTCCCATTCTCTTTTTCGCAAGGTAAGAGGTCTAGATAAACTAATTTTTCACCTTTCGGATTCTCACTAGACATTACCCCATTCTAATCTCGGCCTCACCAAGGAAAAATAGCAATTAAAGTTCATTTAATCAAAGTGAATCCATGCCTACAATGCAATCCTCGAAAGTATCAGGTTCCTAAAAAGTGACTGCTCTTACCCCATTTGGGGCATAGGAACAATGCCAAAATGGCTCCTACACAAATTCCCTAAACTTAATAAATTAATCCCCTAATTCCCTAAACATCAA